CTCAGCTCACCGCAACCTCCACCTCCCGGGTTCAAGCAATTCTCCTGCCTCAGCCTCCCGAGTAGCTGGGACTACACGCATGCGCCACCACGCCCAGCGAATTTTTTATTTTTGGTAGAGTTGGGGTTTCTCCGTGTTGGTCAGGCTGCTCTTGAACTCCCGACCTCAAGTGATCCGCCTGCCTCGGCCCCCCAAAGTGCTGGGATTACAGGTGTGAGCCATCACACCCAGCCTGTAATGCAGTTTTTCAAAGGGCACATTTCATAGCCTGGCGTGGCCGTGAATGACTGTAGTCCCAGCTGCTTGGGAGCTGCAGCGGGAGACTTTCTTGAGCCTGGAAGTTCAGGTCAGGCTGAGGCTGCAGTGAGCTATGATGCTGCTGCTCCACTCCCGCCTGGGCGACCCAGCAAGACCCCGCCTCGAAATAAAATGATAAAATGAAATGAAATTAAAAATAGGCCAGGTGCAGTGGCTCACGCCTGTAATCCCAGCCCTTTGGGTGACGGTACGCACCTGTAGCCCCAGCTACCCAGGAGGCTGAGGCAAGAGAATCGCTTGAACCCAGGAGGTGGAGGTTGCAGGGAGCCAAGATTGTGCCACTGCACGCCAGCCTGGGTGACAGAGCAAGGCTCTGTCTCAAAATAAATACATAAAAATTAAAAATACGGGCCAGGTGTGGCGGTGGCTGACGCCTGGAATCCCAGCACTTTGGGAGGCCGAGGCGGGCGGATCGCAAGGTCAGAAGATCGAGACCAGCCTGGCCAGCATGGTGAAATCCTGTCTCTACTGAAAATACAAAAACTCGTGGTGGCACGGTCTTGGCTCACTGAAACCTCTGCCTCCCGGGTTTAAGTGATTCTCATGCCCCAGCCCCCCAAGTAGCTGGGGCTACAGTCACGCAGCAGCACGCTCGGCTAATTTTTGTATTTTTAGTTAGAGACGGGGTTTGGGGTTTCATCATGTTGGCCAGGCTGGTCTCGAACTCCTGACCTCAGGTGATCCGCCCGCCTCGGCCTCCAAAGTGCTGGGATTCCAGGCGTGAGCCCCCATGCCGGCCCGAAGGTGGAGCTTTGATGAGGTCTGAGCTCCAGGGCCGTCCTTCTCTTCTGCCCCCTCTAGTGCCCAAAGCTCAGTCGGACAAGTGCGTTCCTGACCGAGATCCTCGCTGGGCGGTGCTGGATGTCACCAAGAGGGTGGTGGCCAGCCCCCGGATCATCTCCCTGGCCAGGCCCAAGGTGCGCAAGGGCTTCAATGAGGGCTACGACCCCTATTACATCTCCCCGGCCGCGCTGGTGGCCCGGGCGTCCCCTCGCCTCTATGAGCTCGCCACCCCCAAAAGCATCACCAGAAAAGTGTGAGCCCCCCCAGGCCCAGCCTCTAAGACATCGGCTCCCAGTAAACACCCTCAGGCATCCTAACCCTGTGTACGTGTTTGTTCTGAGCCTTTTGGCCTGGAGAAGGGAGGGTGGGCTGGAAGGCCAGAGAGGGATGAGGAGGACAATAATATCTATTTTTGCATCCAGCCTGCGATTGGTACAGCTCTTTATTTCCCAAGTCACTTTGCTTGACCGTCTCGAGTGCCCTTGGAACCTCTTACATTCGGACCTGCTCACCTGCTCCTCCTGAGGGCCCGTGGGCGCTTCCGAGCCAGCATGAGCCACAGTGAAACCAGCTGACACCTGCTGCACAACTGACGGATCTTTTATTTTATTATTTTTTGAGGCAGAGTTTCGCTCTTGTCACCCAGGCTGGGGTGCGATGTTGTGATCTCACCTCTCCCCAGTGTCCATCTCCCAGGTTCAAGCGATTCTCCCACCTCAGCCTCCTGAGTTGCTGGAATTCAGGTGCCCACTACCACGCCTAGGTGATTTTTTTGTAATTTTGGTAGAGACAGGGTTTCTCCATCTTGATCGGGCTGGTCTTGAACTCCCAACCTCAGGTGATCCGCCCACCTCGGCCTCCCAGAGTGCTGGGATTACAGGTGAGAGCCGCTGCGCTGACCAACTTACTGATCTTTACGGCAACCTAACGATGGAGGGGTTGTCCCTGTCCCCATTCCACAGACGTGGAGACTGAGGCTCAGAGAGGTTAGGAAAAGGCCCGCAGTCCCTGCTGTGGCCTGAACATCTGTGTCTCCCCCAAATTCACGTGTTGAAATTCCCACCCTCAAGGCGATGGTATCAGGTGAGGCCTCCGGGAGGCGATGAGGTTATGGAGCAGAGCTGTCATGCGTGGGGTTGGTGTCCTTAGGAAACAGGCCTGGAGACACCACTGGGCCATGTCTGCTGTGTTTGGACACAGAGAGCAGACTGTGTGACCAGGAAGACCCCCGTCACCAGCACCTGACCGTGCTGATCTCCCCCAGCCCCCCATCACCAGCACCTGACCGTGCTGATCTCCCCCAGCCCCCCATCACCAGCACCTGACCGTGCTGATCCTCCCCATAACCAGCACCTGACCGTGCTGGCCCCATAGTCCCCCCTCACCAGCACCTGACCATGCTGATCCCCCCCATAACCAGCACCTGACCGTGCTGGCCCCCCCAGCCTGCTGTCACCAGCACCTGACCCTGCTGGCCCCATAGCGCCCCTCACCAGCACCCGACCCTGCTGGCCCCCGATCACAGCCTTGCAGCCTCCAGGACTGTGGGAAATAAACTTGTATTGTGTGGAACCCACCCGTCTGCGGTACTTTGTGACGGGAGGTCAAACGGACAGAGACGGCTCCCGTGTTAGCAGCTGGGAGCTGCTGTCGCAGACGCCCACAAACGGGGTGACCCCTAAACACTGCGCAGGCCGGGTGTGGTGGCTCACACCTGTAATCCCAGCACTCTGGGCAGCCAAGGCAGGTGGATCATGAGGTCAGGAGTTTGAGATCTGGCCGACGTGGCAAAACCCCGTCTCTACTAAAAATACAGAAATTAACGGCGCGGTGCGGCTCGTGCCTGTGATCCCAGCTGCTCCGGAGGCTGAGGCAGGAGGCCCTCTCCACCTGGGAGGTCGAGGCTGCGGAAGGCCGAGATCGCACCTCTGCCCTCCAGCCTGGGCAACAGAGACTGCGAGACTCGGTCTCAGAAACAACAAGAAGAACAGAAGAATCATGCACATTTATTCCCTTATCGTCCAGGAGGCTGGAGTCCAAAGTGAGTCTCACTGGGCTGAATCCAAAGTATCAGCAGGGCTGGTTCTTCCAGAGCCCCGGGGGTAGAACCCCTTTCGTGCCTTTTCCGGCATCTGGGGGTACTTGCCTCCCTGGTAAGCGGTGGGGGTGGGGCCTTTCATCTTCAGACCGGCAGCACAGCCTCCTCATCGCTGACTGTCACTCTCCTGCCCTCGTCTCCAGAACGCTGGAGCGACCCGGGGCCGCCGGGGTGATCAGACAGTCTCCCAACTCAGCACCCTTAACCCATCCCTAAGTCTCTTCATCTAGGGTGACTTACTCACAGGCCTGGGGACGAGGATGGGGATGGCCTTGGACACGCTTCTGCCAACCACAGACAGTCTGACGGCTTCCGTGGTGCTCTCGGTGACTGTAGCCTGGAGGTGGGTGGCGTGGCTGGAGTGCAGAGCTTCAGGAAGCAGTGTCAGGACCGGGTGAAATAAATGACCGGGGCCGGGCGCGGTGGCTCACGCCTGTCATCCCAGCACTGTGGGAGGCGAAGGTGGGTGGATCACTTGAGGTCAGGAGTTCCAGACCAGCCTGGCCAACGTGGTGAAACCCGATTTCTACTAAAAATACAAACATTAGCTGGGCGTGGTGGTGGGTGCCTGGAATCCCAGCGACTCGGGAGGCTGAGGCAGGAGAATCACTTGAACCCGGGAGGCGGAGGTTTCAGTGAGCCAAGATCGTGCCACTGCACTCCAGCCTGGGCAACAGAGTGAGACTTTGTCTCAAACAAAAGCAAAAAGACCATTCAGAAGCAACGTCCATTATAAATTTTTGTATGTGGCCGGGCGTGGTGGCTCAAGCCTGTAATCCCAGCACTTTGGGAGGCCGAGGCGGGTGGATCATGAGGTCAAGAGATCGAGACCATCCTGGTCAACATGATGAAACCCCGTCTCTACTAAAAATACAAAAAATTAGCTGGGCATGGTGGTGCATGCCTGTAGTCCCAGCGACTCAGGAGGCTGAGGCAGGAGAATTGCCTGAACCCGGGAGGTGGAGGCTGCGGTGAGCCGAGATCGCGCCATTGCACTCCAGCCTGGGTAATAAGAGCGAAACTCCGTCTCAAAAAAATAAAAATAAATAAATAAATAAATAATCAGATGGTGGGGTTTGTGAAGGACGCGGAGAGCACTCTGTTTCTCATGGTGTGGCGTCACCACTTACCAAGATAGGGAACACTGGGAGAGGAGCTTGCTTTTAAATACGGGAGTGGCCGGGCGCCGTGGCTCACGCCTGTAATCCCAGCTCTTAGGGAGGCAGAGGCGGGAGGACAGCTTGAGCCCAGGAGTTCCAGACCTGCCTGGGCAATACAGCGAGATCCCGTTCTCCACAAAAAGGGAAAAAAACCAAAAAGACAAAAAAAAAAAAAAGCGTAACTCCCCTTAAATACGGGAGTGGTAACGAATTCCGGCTTTGAAACCGTAGAGTCTGAAGTGCTTTGATCCTTGTGAGGCGGAGCGCCGCCCGTCACCCAGGCTGGAGCGCCGTGCTGTGGCCTTCGCTCACTGCGGCCTCTGACTCCTGGGTTCCGGCAATCCTCTTGCCTCGGCCTCCTGCGTGGCTGGGATCTGAGGCGTGCACCGCCACGTCCGGCCAACTTTGTTTTCAGACGGAGCTCCGCGCTTGTTGCCCAGGCTGGAAGCCGATGGTACGATCTCGGCGCGCTGCAGCCTCCGCCTCCCAGGTTCAGGCGATCCTCCTGCCTCGGCCTCCCGAGTAGCTGGGATTATGGGCGTGAGCCACCACGTCCAGCATAATTATTGCATTTTTTGTAGAGACAGAGTTTCACCATGTTGGCCAGGTGGGTGTCAAATTCCTGACCTCAGGTGATCTACCAGCCTCCACTTCCTGAAGTGCTGGGATTAAAGGTGTGAGCCACCATGCCTGGCCAGTGCTTAGATATTTCCTAGAGAAAATAGATACCTGCATCTACACCTACACCTGTGCCTGCACCTACACCTGTGCAACATCTACACCTGCGCTATACCAAAACTTGTGCTGTACGTACACTGTGCCTACACTTACACCTGTGCCATACTTACACCTGTGTGTACACATACACCTGTGCCTACACCTACACCTGTGCTACACCTACACCTTGCATACACATATACCTGTGCTACACCTACACCTGTGCATACACATATACCTGTGCCTATACATATACCTGTGCTACATCTACACCTGTGCGTACACTTATACCTGTGCCTATACCTACACCTGTGCGTACACATATACCTGTGCCTATACATATACCTGTGCTACATCTACACCTGTGCATACACATATACCTGTGCCATACCTACCCCTGTGCTACACCTACACCTGTACTACACCTACATCTGTGCGTACACATATACCTGTGCCATACCTACACCTGTGCTACATCTACACCTGTGCTACACCTCACCTGTGTGTACACATATACCTGTGCCTATACCTACACCTGTGCATACACATATACCT